ATTAATCAAATATATATTCTCAATTTTTATAAAAGATATCTTGGTATTTTTAATCTTATTCTATTTAGTCTTTCGTTACTTTTTCGTTTGATGATTATTTTTCAATTTATGTCATTTTAATTATTATTTATTAGATCTGAACCATTTAAACAAATTCAAAAAAAATCCTGCTATTTTTCTTATTTGCCTTATATAAATTATTAAACAAAATAATAACATCAAATTCTTAAATTAACTCTATTCTATTTTTACGCCTCTAACACCAATTGGAATTAAAATTATTCCTTCTCGTTTTCCTTTTGTGGTTTTTTAAGACCATGTTTTATATTTTCAGGTAGTAATGAATTGAGTAATTCAAACAATTCAATTGTATATCTATATTCATATTACTTTGTACTTGGAATTTTGAAGCCATGGAAAATTATACAGAAATAACTCAATAAAAGGGGGGATAAAATCAATTTTTTGTAAAAATGGATGAAACAAAAGTAGGAAAGCTAAAAAAACCCAATTCATTAATTCAAGCCCTAAAGACTTATTTGATTCTGATATTTTTAATGTCTAAATATTAAATCCATTTATTACTAAAAAGGACCTGCAAATTACAAACCCAATTAAAACCAAAGACTAGCAGAGTTTAATTATTGTGATCAATATTGCAGAAAAAACTAGCATGATAAATACATAACTAGCCCTCCTTATTTTAAACCTTTGATTGAATTTATAATGCTTAGCTAAGTCCTTCAGAAGCCTCTATAATAGAATCAGTATAGGATTTTCGTCTAATTTATCTAAAGAAAACCTTGTAATCAATTAATCAAATATAATATTCATTTTATATAAATAATATAGATGGATAAAATTTAAAGAGAAGTGCAAACTTTCCAATATGATGATCAAAATGCAGAAATGGCTACAGAAGAATTTATAAATTTATCTCTCTCTGACCACTTCGAGGAGTACCAATTTGGATTACAAAAATTTAAGATCTATTTAAATTTAAATTATCCCGATTTAGAAGAACCAATTGCATAAATAATAAAGAAGTAATTAATTCCTAAAATGTTATTTCATTTAGAAAATTCTTTTAATCGTAATTAAGTAGATGTACTTAATTAAATTAATTTCATATAAGAAACACTTAAGAAATATCATTTTGAAAATTCTTTCATAGAAAATGGCTTAATGTAAATTCTAATTCGGTTGATATCTTTAAAAAATAAAAAATATGATTTAGAAATTATTAGGTTATTTATTTTACTACTTCATTCTTCTAATAATAGATATAAACACAATATTTAAGTTTAAATAATTGTATTCATAGGTGCTCGAAGGATAATGCAAATGATTGAATATCAATCTCATTAGGCTACAAAAATTAAATAAATTGCTCTTCTTTGCAATATTAATGATTAAAATTTTTTTAATGAAAAAAAGATTGTTGTTGAAGAACTTTGTTAAATTCTACTTAAAGAATCTAATCAATCAGGACAATTCATAACAGCAATAGAATTAATATCTGATATAATTAGATATGAAAATGTTAAACATCTGCTATTGGAAAAAAAAGTTTTGTAATCAATTATTGATGCTATTCCGAATTGGATAGATTAATATCGATCAGTTTTAGACAGTATTTTAAAAATATGTCTAGAGTTCATTATATTTAATAAAATTACTAGATAATTGATTGTAACTTATGGTTTGTTAAAATACTTAGGAGTGTTAATTAAAAGTTAGTTTTATGGAGTAAAATCTTGCTCCTTAAAAATTGTCAAAAACTTATGTCATGAGAAATATATGGTTGAAAGACTATATATCAACTCTGTAGGTAGAACTATATTGGAATAATTCATATAAAATTCAAGATATTATGAAAATATTTCAACATTAGCAATATTATTAGAATATGGTAGCCTCATGTTTTTTAAGTATTGTGAAGATATCGCTTAAGAATTTATATAAGAATTTTTAAGAACATTTTTAAGTTTTCCAGAACCGGAAGTATGTAGGAGTTAAATAGCTCTAATTAAAGTATTCTAAAATTAGGGGCTATTCTATGATGAAATATAATAATATCTTATTGTAAACTAGGAAATTATTAAGGAAAATATGCAATTTCAATATATTAATAATAAACAGTTTTTTGATTTCTATTAAATAAACAAGAAAATTCAATGAAAATTGAAATTATTATATTAGTATAAAAGAATTTAAATTAAGTTGAATTTCCTTTCGACAAGAATACAATCTTAATTATTCATATTTAAAATTCAAGATTTTTTAATAGAGTTTATTTGTAGAAATTTTAGTTCTACTGGGTGATAGATTAATTTAAACAATTCATGAAATTTTTATAATTTAAGGAATATCATGGGGTCCAGTTTAAATTTTTGGATTGTATTCTCAAAAAATCTTAATCAATATAATTTTAATCTTCCTCCCAATATTAAAAATATAACTCAATTGACGTTAAAATAAGCAACAAAATGTTAAAAATATTATTATTTAATTATTAATCTAATAAAGTTTTTTATGTATAATCGAATGGAACATAAGATATTTTATTTAAAAGTATAATTAGAGACAAGCTATAGAACAATCACATTTCGAACACAGAATTAATCAGAGAAATTTTTATACTTAATTTGAGAAATTAAACTTTTGATTATTAATTTTAAAAGAAAATGTAAATTTTCGTTAAGACTTTGACTGGAAAGACTATTACTCTTGATGTTGAACCATCAGACACTATTGACGCTGTCAAGGCTAAAATTTAAGACAAGGAAGGAATCCCACCTGATTAATAAAGACTCATTTTTGCAGGAAAGTAATTAGAAGATGGAAGAACACTTTCAGACTATAACATTTAAAAGGAATCAACTCTCCACTTAGTGTTGAGATTGAGAGGTGGAATGTAAATTTTCGTTAAGACTTTGACTGGAAAAAACATCACTCTTGATGTTGAACCATCAGACACTATTGACGCTGTCAAGGCTAAAATTTAAGACAAGGAAGGAATCCCACCTGATTAATAAAGACTCATTTTTGCAGGAAAGTAATTAGAAGATGGAAGAACACTTTCAGACTATAACATTTAAAAGGAATCAACTCTCCACTTAGTGTTGAGATTAAGAGGTGGATAATGATTTTCTCTGTATATTCATTCATTAACTTTTTCTATCTATCAATAATTCATCTATTTCTGTATTCATTTACTTAATAGTTTTATGTCTCTTCTTTTTTAAAGGTTTTATGAAAATTCTTAAGATATTTTGATAAATTTTTATCTCAAGTATATTCATTTTCTATATTCATTTACTTAATAGTTTTATGTCTCTTCTTTTTTAAAGGTTTTATGAAAATTCTTAAGATATTTTGATAAATTTTTATCTCAAGTATATTCATTTTCTATATTCATTTACTTAATAGTTTTATGTCACTTCTTTTTTAAAGGTTTTATGAAAATTCTTAAGATATTTTGATAAATTTTTATCTCAAGTATATTCATTTTCTATATTCATTTACTTAATAGTTTTATGTCTCTTCTTTTTTAAAGGTTTTATGAAAATTCTTAAGATATTTTGATAAATTTTTATCTCAAGTAAAAGTAGAACTTATTATACACAATTATGCACATTTTTCATTTGAAATGGTGAATGTCCAGTTTTTAGCCTTTTTCCTCTCTCGTTTGTTTGAATTTGCTAAAGGTCCATGCTATTTATTAAGGTATTTGAGAGTGAGCAGCAAATAGAGAATGTTTTTAAATTACTTTCCCAATGGGATTGGTCAAAAGTAGTACAATCACATTTCGAACACAGAATTAATCAGAGAAATTTTTATACTTAATTTGAGAAATTAAACTTTTGATTATTAATTTTAAAAGAAAATGTAAATATTTGTTAAAACTTTAACAGGAAAGACTATTACTCTTGATGTTGAACCATCAGACACTATTGACGCTGTCAAGGCTAAAATTTAAGACAAGGAAGGAATCCCACCTGATTAATAAAGACTCATTTTTGCAGGAAA